CACACACACCCGGGCACCGAGGGCCCGCACAGCACACACACCCGGGCACTGAGGCCCCGCACGCCACACACACCCGGGCACTGAGGCCCCGCATGCCACACACACACCCGGGCACTGAGGGCCCGCACACCACACACAACTGGACACTGAGGCCCCGCATGCCACGCACACACCCGGGCACTGATGACCCCGCACGCCACGCACACACCCAGGCACTAAGGGCCCACACAGCACACACACCCGGGCACTGAGGCCCCTCACGCCACACACACACCCGTGCACTGAGGGCCCCACACGCCACGCACACACCCGGGCACTGAGGGCCTGCACAGCACACACACACCCGGGCACTGAGGGCCCGCACGCCACACACACACCCGGGCACTGAGGGCCCACACAGCACACACACACCCGGGCACTGAGGCCCCGCACGCCACACACACACCCGGGCACTGAGGGCCCCACACACCACACACACACACGAGCACCGAGGGCCCGCACAGCACACACACCCGTGCACTGAGGGCCCCACACGCTACGCACACACCCGGGCACTGAGGGCCCACACAGCACACACACACCCGGGCACTGAGGCCCCGCACGCCACACACACACCCGGGCACTGAGGGCCCCACACACCACACACACACACGTGCACCGAGGGCCCGCACAGCACACACACCCGTGCACTGAGGGCCCCACACGCCACGCACACACCCGGGCACTGAGGGCCCGCACAGCACACACACCCGGGCACTGAGGGCCCGCACAGCACACACACCCGGGCACTGATGACCCCGCACGACCCGGGCACTGAGGGCCTGCACGTCACACACCCAGGCACTGAGGCGCCACACACCCAGGCACTGATGACCCACACACCACACACACACACACTCTTGGGCACAAAAGCTCCCTTCAATAATCCTCCCTGAGACAGGTGTCTGTCACAGAGACAGGTCTGTGCCCTGAGTCTCAGGTACAGCCTTTCCCCACAGGTGTGGCTGCACCTTCTCCAGCACAGAAGCCTGGGGGCCTGAGAATTGTGCCATGCTGTGTGCTGACCCCTAGGGTTCTGCCCTTCACATGGCTCAGTGGAAACCCTGCGTGTAGCACAGTGGGCAAGCTGGGACCTGTGGTGACCCTAGGGTTGGAGGCCAGGCAGGGCTGTCACTGAGAAGCGGGACCCAGGGAACAGATGACTCCTGGGGATCTGAAGCCTGGGACCCACGGAATGGATAACTCCTGGGGATCTGAAGCCTGGGGCCCAGGGAATGAATGACTCCCTTGCACCCACCAGTCCTTCCTGAGCACTGGTTCCTAGAGAAGCATCTCAGAGCAGAGGCAGCCATGCCCAGGCAGGGGAGAGACCACTGGACAAGGCCTACAGCAGGGTCGCTGGGCCTGACTGTGCCAGAAACAGCTCAGCCAGAGAGGATGGACAGACAATGTCGCCACTCCTGAAAGATCTCAGCACCCAGCCTCCCACCCCCCTGGATACACAGCCACACCTGCTGAGATATAACACACCTGCAGACACAGCCACACCTGCAGACACAGCCACGCCTGCAGGCATACCCACACTTGTAGAGATACCCACACTTGCAGAGATACAGCCACACTTAGAGACACAGCCACACCTACAGAGACACCCACCTGCAGACATACCCACACTTGTAGAGATACCCACACCTGCAGAGACCTGAGATACACCCACAGACATCCGTGCCTGCAGAGAGACACACAGACACCTGCAGAGACATAGGGGCCTTGCAGTGTGCAGAGAGGTCCGGTTGTGTGTAATTAGCCATTGATGGGCCTTTCCTGTGTTTGCAGCACTCATTCCTTGTATTCACAAACTTAGTTTATGTGAACTTGTTCTTTAAAAAGTTGTTGCACAATCATAATCCAAAGCTGACGTTGGTGTGACTTATCTCTTGATGGGCTCACTTAAAGGGCTGGTGCTCCTGGAGATTGGGAAGAAAATTGCTCCATAAACCAAAAAGCAAAAAACTTATTTAAAAAAGATAGATTCACAGGAAGTTAGAAATAGCACACAAGAGCTCCTCGTGCCGTCCCCCTAGTTTCTCCCAGTTTCAGCCCCATGCGTGTGACTGTCCCACGGCCTCGGCCCTGTGTGCACAACTGTCCCACGGCCTCGGCCCCGTGTGCGTGACTGTCCCACGGCCTCGGCCCCGTGCGTGACCGTGGTGCAGCCACCGCCCCATGTGTAACTGGTGCAGCTTTGGAACCAGGACACGGCACTGGGCTGTCATGGGGCATGGACAGCTTCCTCAGCTCTACACGCGAGGTGTGTGCCTGTGTGAGCTTAGCTCTCTACCAACCCACTCCTGTGCAGACCCGCCATAGCTCACCCCGTGGCTGCCTCAAGCGGCCATCATGGCCTCACAGCCCTCCCACTGCTACCCCACACCCCGATCTTCCTGTGACTTGGCAGGTAGGGAAGGTTCATAACTGCAGTCAGGTGATGGAGCCTTTTAGGAATGGTCGCTTTCCTCAGCCGCTCTCCCTGGAGGTCCGTCTGGGCCGCTGCTGGGTCAGGGCTTTCCTGCCCGCCTCCCGCCCCCGTCAGTGCCTCTTCCTCCCCCATCCCCCAGTCAGCTTCTCCCTACCGCCTCAGCACCTCTTCCTCCCCCCACTGTTCCAACACTGCAGCCCACTCCCCACAGCCTGTGTCCTGCACCTCAGAACCAGGGCCACGCCCTTGGCTCAGGCAGCGTGGGGAGGGGACGCTGGAGAAGCAGAGAGATTCCAGCTGTGTCCAATGGCCCAGCCCTACTGGGAGCCTCTGTTGCCCACTTGCCCAGTGTAGGGTGTAGGTACAGCCCGGGGGTAACCCCTTCAGCACAGCCTGCAGACCTGGGATTCTTTGTCCTGAGGACACGCACCCACTGTCATGCTGTGATGACACTGGGCACCTGGAGAGTTACACTTAGAGCAGCCTGAGAGCGTGCCAGGCGCTTGGCAGCCTTGGGTGCAGGCAGTGTGGCCTCTGGCAGGTCCAGAGCAGGCCAGCGGCTCCATGCTGCACAGGGTCTCTGGGTGGTGCAGGCCAGTGGGGACCTGTGTCAGAAGCTGCATGGGGAGCCCTGCGCACCCGGCAGCGTCCCAGGTGTCAGCAGCTGTGAGCAGGAGCAGCCTGGATGGGGTGGCTCCATGCAATTAAGAGATGCTGTTGGAAGACCAGTGGCTCTCTGGTCCAGAGGGGACACATGGAGCCAGGCTGCACAGCGGGAGCACAAACCACAGTGGGTCCCACGGGACTTGGGACAAGCTTTGTCCACGCCTGCTCACAGCCCTCCCTGCATGCCCCTTTCCAGTCAGCCAGCCAGCCAGCCAGGCTACCCCAGGGCCACAGCGTGCTCACCTCCTGGTGGGGAGCCTTTCACTTCTTCTGCTTCCTGTCAGCACAGAGTTCCAGAGCTGGGGAGGGTCCTGCCTGAATGCCCAGCGCTCCACTCCATAAATGAGCCTGAAGCCCACCGGGGCACACCTATCCATCTTGCTTAATAGATTCAGGAGCGCACCGTGGGTCTCGAGGAGTGGCAAGGTGATGGATGAGGCCTTTCTGCGTCTAACAGCATGATGTATAATGAAGTATTTATGATTTATTGCAGCTAACAACCCGTGTGGATTGCAGGGTGTGTGCGAGCAGACGGGTGAGGCCTCAGCGCCGCGCTCTCACACGCACCGCGTGCTCCCACGGCCTCAGGCACACACGTGTGCCTGCGCACGCTCACAGTCACGTGTCCCGTGCCCTCCCAGGCCTGCACATGCACACTCACAGGCACACGCACCTTGTGCCTATGCGCCGTGAGACAGCTTTGGGCCGGGAGTGCGGGCTCCGAGGCTGCAGCCGCTGTCCCGGCTCCCCACCCTTGGTGGCTTGTGCCGTCTGTGTTGAGCTACTTGAGAAAGCAAGCAGCAGGGAAGGTCAGTTCCCAGCAGGAGGCTCCAGGAGCTTCCCCCTGGACGAGCAGAGGCCATGGCTTTGCCTGAGGAAGAAAGTGTGGGGCAGCCCAGCCACTGTTCTAGGAGCAGCGTGGTCAGGTGCAGCAGGCAGGAGGTGGGCACCAGCAGAGGTGCCAGGCACCAGGAAAGGCCTGTCCTCCTTGGCACCAGCCCCTCTCTGTGGGCCTCGGTGTGGGCCTCCCATCGAAAGGAGCTGGGCAGTCACTGCTGGACATCAGCAGGGTGGGGTGTTGGGAGGTGTCTGGTTTACCTGTTTTACTGAATATTTGACCTGGATTCTTTTGTGGGCCTGAGAGAAACAGCAAGAGGCCCTGGTGGGCCTCAACCCCTCCCCCAGAGCCTGCTTGCACGAGGGGTGGCCCCTGTGTGCTGCTGTTGAGAGAGGCCATCTGGGGCCTTACAGCAGCAGCGGCAGCACAGCCAGGAGGCCCAGCACACCCTGGCGCCTGTCCTGAGCGAGGGTCACCCGGCACACCCTGATGCCCGTCCTGTGCGAGGGTCACCCCACACACCCTAATGCCCGTCCTGAGCGAGGCTCACTCCGCCACACCCTGGCGCCCGTCCTCAGCGAGGGTCACCAGACACACCCTGATGCCCGTCCTGAGCGAGGCTCACCCCACACACCCTGATGCCCATCCTGAGCAAGAGTCAAAGCATCAGATCCTGTGCTTGGTGCTTCGAAAAGGCCACACATCCCACCCGTGACCGGTGGTTACCGACAGCTGTGATGGAAACGGGCTGAGCATACTTACTAATGCAGGGTGTCTGCAGCCCACAGCCCAGCAGTGCTACTGCCACCTCCTGGCTCAGGCAGGCTCTGGGCCCACTGCTGACCTGCCCCTGGAGGGGGCACACACGGCCGAGGGTGGGGAAGGGCAGACCCCATGCCGTGGGCACAGTCCCACCTTGGGATGCACATCGTGACCTTCAGGAATGTGGGCTTACCTGGCATGGCTGCTTCTGTGTTGCGGTTGCCATGGGGGGTAACCAGAGCCCCCTTTCCTCAGGGGACACCGTGGTGTTTAAGGACGGCCAGTACTGGATCCGAGGCCGGACCTCAGTGGACATCATCAAGACCGGAGGCTACAAGGTCAGCGCCCTGGAAGTGGAGCGCCACCTGCTGGCTCACCCCAGCATCACAGGTGCGTGGCCAGATTTGCACCGGGGAGGCTGGGCTAGACCACAGGTGCTGCCTTTCCACGTCTGCGTTTGAGGATCGCGGATGAGGCAGGGGTCCCTGTGGTGCTTGCTTCTGCTCCCTGCCCTGGCCGGGGCACACAGGGCTGCTGGGGCACAGCCTGCTCAGTGTTGGAGCAGCCGCCCACATACCACCGGGGCTCCCAGGCCTGGTCGGGCGCAGCTCGCCTCTGCATGGCGCCCCTGTGGGAGGGCAGTAGGGAGCGTGCGGAGAGCCAGGGGTGGGAAGGCTGCCCTGCGCATGCCCAGCACCAGATCCACCGCGGGGAGCCCGCCGCACTCCCCTCCCCGCAGGGCCAGCCAGCACCAGGACGGGCTTCAGGGCTGCAGCCAGACTGAGCACTCCCTGTGCATCCAGGTACACTTCAGCCTGTGAGTGCCATGGAGGCGTTCCCATGTCCCCATACTGTTCCTCTATCTGCAGATGTGGCTGTTATTGGAGTTCCGGATATGACATGGGGCCAGCGGGTCATTGCTGTGGTGACTGTTGGAGAAGGACACTCACTGTCCCACAGGGAGCTCAAAGAGTGGGCCAGGTAGGGCTGGGCGGGGCGGGCAGGGGCATCCGTGGGGTCTCGGTGGTCCGGGGGTGAGGGCTGCCCTAGCTCTTGCCTCATTCAACGGTTCCAAGCTCTTGTCCTGGGTCCAAGAAGTATGAGGTTACACTGACAGTTTGATGGGTGAGGAGGGTGGATAAGAATCTTCCTGAGCGATGAATTTTACCGAGTTCTCAGCAGAGAGAGAGGATGTGAGGGTGATTGGCCCCACAGAGTTGGGTGTGGCTGGGTCCAGGGTTTTTTTGGGGCACAGAATGGGGAGGGGCAGGCTGTAGGTGATATTGGAAAAGGACATTTGGTTGGTTAAAAAGCATTATTCAGAAAGAAACAGTCCCGAGTGGCAAACAGGAGTAGAAGTTCTTGCTCTGGGCTGCAGGCTCCAGGCTGTGTTTGGCTTGAAGATCGGTTTCAGTGGGTCCACCCTGTCCATCTGGGCATTTGCCTGCCTCCTGCTGCTGTCGTAAAGAGCTCTCTGAGGCAGTAATTTATAAGAAAAGAGGTTGAATCGGCTCCCAGTTCCTCCGGCTGTAAGGAAGCATGGCTGGGGAGGCCTCGGGAGACGTCCCTCACGGTGAAAGGTGTCAGGGAGGCCAGCACGTCCCACGTGGTGGAGCAGGAGGAAGAGCTCACCTATGGCAGATTCCTTCAGAACAGACATTGGTCTCTGCTCTGCTCCCTCTCTGTTCACACCCTCTCTGCCTCCACCCTGACTTGCCTTCTCCTGAGCACTAAGGGGAGTTTTGGCTGGTCAGCTGTGACTCCACAAAGAGCAGGAACCCCTGCTCATCAGGCAGCACAGAGGCCGGGGATGCAGGGCACAGCTGGAGCACTCCCGCTCCGCAGGGAGCACAGAGGCCAGGGGTGCAGGGCACAGCTGGAGCACTCCCGCTCCACAGGAAACAGGGAGCACAGAGGCCAGGTGTGCAGAGCACAGCTGGAGCACTCCCGCTCCACAGGAAACAGCACAGAGGCCGGGGGTACAGAGCACAGCTGGAGCACTCCCGCTTCACAGGAAACAGGGAGCACAGAGGCCGGGTGTGCAGCGCACAGTTGGAGCACTCCTGCTCCACAGGAAACAGGGAGCACAGGGGCCGGGTGTGCAGAGCACAGTTGGAGCACTCCTGCTCCACAGGGAGCAGGAAGCACAGAGGCCGGGGGTGCGCGGCACAGCTGGAGCACTCCCGCTGCATAGGCAGCAGGGAGCACAGAGGCCAGGTGTGCAGGGCACAGCTGGAGCACTCCCGCTCCACCTTGGCAGCTTGTTTCATTAAACAGACACCTTGTTGAAAAGAAAAGGTAGGTGTCTTGTGCTCAGAGCTGCGCTGGAGAGTTTCAGGGTCCAAGTGTGCAGGAACTGAAATCCTGATGCTCCTCAGCCCTTGGCTGTCCTCAGGGCCGCCCCCTGCCTGGGGACACCAGGCCGTCCGCCCCTGCTCTGTGCATCTTTGGAGTCAGGCCCCTCACGCAGCATTGTGTGGACAGTGACAGTGGGTGTGAGGAGACCCTGAGGCAGGAGGCTGTGGGCTGGGCACCTGAGGGCCTGCTGGAGAGAAGCCACCTGTGAGGGGCAGGACCAGGCTGGGAAGGCCACCCGTCATGCGGTCACAGCCCAGGACTTGCCAGTCCTGCAGGAGCCCCGGAGCCAGGCCTTCACTGTCCAGGCCACTTGCTGTGCTCAGGTGACAGCAGCCCCCGCCTGCAGTCCTAACCCCCGTTCGCTGTGCCCAGCTCAGGCTGAGACTGCAATGCTTTTCCATTCGCCATAAAAGAAAGGACAGATCTTGGGTCTCCTTTCAGATTGAAAGGAGTCGCAGATCTGTGAACCTGGAGTCTTCCATTTAAAGTACCGTAAAGCAAATACATGGTCCCAAAGGCTCCACTGCTCAATTCCATCAAACCTTTAGGGCAAAAAATAAAACCAGACCCAACAAAGTAAGTCTCTGACGAAACAGAGCAGAGAGGAGCACTTCCTAACTCCCCTCACGGGACCATCGCTGTCCTGAAATCAAAGCCGGATGAGGAAACAATAGGGCAGGGTTCCCGATGGGCACACATAGAATCCCTAAGGAAACATCAGCAGATGGCATCCGATTAACGCGCACACAGACGGCACATGATCAGGCAGCAGGGATGGAGGGTCACTTTCATATTCAAGACTCGGTTCGTGTAATTCACTGTACTTACAGAACGAAGAAGAAAACCTGTATTTCAGTAGATACAGAAAAAGCATTTGCAAATCTCAAAACCCTTTTGTAGCAAAAACTCTTAGCAAACCAGGAGAAGGAAAATCCCTGAACCTGAGGAGCGCGTCTATAAAAAGCCACCAGGTGACGTCCTGCTCAGTAGGGAGCTGCTGGCGCTTTCTTTTTTTGACCAGGAAGCGGTGTCTGCCCTTCCTACCGCCCCCCAGTCTCGTTCAACCAGAGTCTGTCCGCTGTTAGAGGTCAAGACACTGGTTACACACGGAGGCTGGGGAGGCTCGGGCAGGCATGGGCCTCTGGGGTCCTGGCCGTGTTAACTTTCAGCCTGGTGCCACTTTGATGGGGCAGTTGCTTCAGTAAAACTTCAGAAATTCCTACACAGGCCGGCCTGTGGTTCCCGCCTGTAATCCCAGCACTGTGAAAGGCCGAGGCAGGTGGATCACCTGAGGTCAGGAGTTCGAGACCAGCTTGGCCAACATGGAGAAACCCCGTCTCTACTAAAAATAAAAAATTAGCCGGTCATGGTGGCGGGCACCTGTAATCCCAGCTGCTCCGGAGGCTGAGGCAAGAGAATTGCTTGAACCCAGGAGGCGGAGGTTGCAGTGAGCGAGATCACACCACTGCTCTCCAGCCTGGCAACAGAGCAAGACTCTGTCTCAAAAAAAAAAAAAAAAAAAAAAAAAAACTGTACATCCCTCACCACACTGCATTGGACAGCTGTGTGTGAATTACACCTCCATGTAAATAATCTCTAATAGTTTTATACAACTGTGAAATATGTAGGGAAGTTGGAGGTGGGCATGGTGACACGTGCCTGTAGCACTTTGGGAGGCCGCAGCAGGAGGATTCTTTGAGCCCAGGAGGTCAGGGCTTCGGTGAGCTGTGACTGCACCACTGCACTCTGGCCCAGGCAACAGTGAGATCCTTAGAAAGAAAAGAGAAAAAAAGAAAAATGTGGAGGTCAAGGTTGACAGCAGCACTGAGGTCGAAGCCAGCTGCCCCTGGGGAGTGAGGGGCTACGCTGGGCCGACTCTCCTCCATCCTGAGAGGCGTTCTGGCAGGGCAGGTAGGCAGGGGGCCCGTGCTGAGTCTTTGGCCATTTCTGGACGGCAGACAATGCTTTCTCCATGAAATGCGTCAAGAAAACATGACACTTGGTTTCTGGACTTTTCCAAGGAACGGTAACCTGAACAGTCAACAGTCGGATTTGCTTTCTGACACGGCTCAGAGCAGCCTGCACGCCCTGCGCCAGCCCATCCTGTGCCTTGGCTGCAGCCAGTGCCTTCATGGCACCCCTGGTGGGCAGCAGCCACACCACCACCTGCCTTCAGGGGGTTCATCTCATTTATTTCCTCCCCTCCTTTTTTTTTCTAGTCGCCCAGGCTGGAGTGCAGTGGCGCAATCTCGGCTTACTGAGACCTCTGCCTCTTGAGTTCAAGTGATTCTCCTGCCTCAGCCTCCCAAGTAGCTGGGATTACAGGCATGTGCCCCCATGCCTGGCTAATTTTTGTATTTTTAGTTAAGACGGGGTCTCACCATGTTGCCAGGCTGGTCTTGAGCTCCTGACCTCAGGTGATCCATCCACCTCGGCCTCCCACAGTGCTGGGATGACAGGCGTGAGCCGCCGTGCCCGGCCTTTCCTTCCTTCTTTAACGGTGAAGGGAGGAGCCCCAAGTACCACACAGCCTCAGCTTCTGATCCCAGCCCTGCGTTCCTGCCCACTGCCCTCGGCCCCACCTACCGAGTTTTGGCTGTGAGGAAAGGGGACCCTGAGTGGAGGTGTCAAGTCTCAGGGGCCGTCCGTGCTGTGCAGGGTCTGTGAGGCCTCCTGCCATGCGGGCTGGTGTGTGCAGAACCATGTGGCCTTTTCCCATCTCAAATGCCCCTGCCCCTGCCCATCCACTCCCCAGCCTGCTCACCCGTCCCCACCCCTTCCAGATGTCTCTCTGGAAGCGTTACTGGCCATAGGGTTACAAGGGGTGTTCCAGCTGCAGTGCGGGGTCTTGGAAAGCCTGGCCTGGTGTGGGGGCCCTCTGCCCTGCAGGCCACTGTGTGCAGCCCTGTCCTTAGGGGTGACCTCGCCCAAGGCCTGCACTCACCGTGGCTTCTGTGATAGCAGTGATGGCAGCATGCTGCCACCTCCTGCAGTCACCATCCCTAGGCTGCTGGGGCGGAGACAGCTGTGGTCACCCAGTACACATGCCTGGACTCAGGATGGCCATGGTGCCTGGCCAGGTGCAGGGTCCCAGGGCGCCTGAGTTCCTGCCACTGGGCAGTGTCAGGGCCACATGCCTCAGGCTGTGCTCGTCTCTGCAGAGACGTCCTGGCCCCTTACGCGGTGCCCTCGGATCTCGTGCTGGTGGAGGAGATCCCACGGAACCAGATGGGCAAGATTGACAAGAAGGCGCTCATCAGGCGCTTCTACCCCTCATGACCCAGGTGCCAGGGGCTGGGCACTCGGACCGGAGGTCTGGCAGGGATCGGCAGACACCCCCTTCATGCCGAGCACCGTGGGGTCTGGACAGAGACCTGGCCTCCCTCAAACCTCAACCCCGCAAATCACGGCACACAGAATCAACTCTTTGGATGAAATCACTTAGTGAGGCCCCCAGCCTCGGGCCAATTGTCGCTGTTTAAGGAAACTGTCCCTGTCCCCAGTGTCAGCTCTGCCTGGTCACCACCGACTTCGCGGCGAGCCCCATACGCTCAGGCACCTCCCACCCCACAGTGCCCTGTGGCTGCTGGGCTCTCCAGGGCAGGTCCCAGGAAGGTCCCCCAGGTGTCCCCCCAAAAAGAAAGAAAGAATCCACTGGAGGAAAGAATCCCCTGTCCAATGCCGTCTGCCCTGCCTGCACCTGCACACGACACACAACTGCACATGCCTGTGCCTCCCCAGAGCCAGTGTCTCCCAGCCCACCTAGGAGGTCTGGGCAGCGCCCGGGGGCGCCTCCTGGGAGGAGCTGAGGGTTCACAAACCTCCCAGAGCCAGCCCTGCCCCGCGGGTCTTGGGCATCTGAGGAGAGCAGCTCCCACTGTGGGGACACCTGCCACCCTGCACAGTCCTGTGTGTCCGCCGGCACGTGCCACCAGAAGTGCGCAGATGGACAGCCCTGGAACTGCTCTGCCGGGACCCCACCTCGCCCCCCAGCACAGGGACTGTCCAGGTCTTCGCACCAGCCCCTCCTCAGCCCATGAGCCTCCCTCCCATCATCATCTCCACCCAGAGCTCCACCTGCCCCATCACCCCCGATCTCATGTCTGCAGCTCACCGGCCTTTCCCACAGGCTTGAACGATCGCCAAAACCTCAGGAAGGTGTGTTGTGAATGTTGGGTGCAACCCACGTCGCATGTACTTAGCGGGGTCAATTCAGATGCACGGGGACCATGGAGAATCCAGACGTTTTTGAACAATTTTCAGGAGAACAGCCTCTGGGAAGTAGCATTCACAGCTGTTGGAAGTAGATGTTGGAAATAGATGCTTGGTGCCAAAAAGAAAAATCAGCACTGAGACGAAGGATTTTTCAACAATGCAGTTTTTACCTCCTGGACTGCAGGAAGGGACCCTCGCTAGCCATCTTGCCACAAGAGTACAAAGAACAAAGGAAAACAGAAAAATTTATCCCTCACGCATGTAGGGTCGTCCTTGCTGCTGTGTCTGATCTCTGTTGGCTGGAGCCAGACCTCACAATCTAAACTAAAACCCCATTGGCTAACAACTTACAACTTGTCTGAACAGGTAAAAGCAGTGGAGAGCTGGGACATGCCTGTGAGCACGTCCAGCACAGATATCTCAGTTAAAGTAGCAGGACACAGAATGTATTACGTGCCTATAAGCACGGCATATCTGACAGCTACATAGGACAGGGCTTAACAAAGTTATTAGCACACTTAGTCTTTAACAAGAAAGGTAACTTTAAAAAGGAACTTTTTCACATTTCCCACAACAGCCCAGCAGTGTCTAGCCTCAACTTACCCAGAACGTTCTGCCCTCAGAATGCACGTCTGAAAGGGTGGCCATAAACGAGTGTGCCGTGCAGGTGGCCAGCCCCATCTCAGGCTCATGAGCCTCGGGGACAGGCAGGCATGGCCTGGGGCCCCTGCTCACTTCAGCATGTTGCCACCAAGCTCGTGTGAGCCCACAGAGCAGCATCCAGCCCTGCTTCCAGGAGGGGTGTGCACCCCCACCGCAGCCCCACCACACCTGAGCTCCTGCCTCTCCATGTGGCCTTGTGCCATCCCCATGGCCGACCCCGGAACAGTCAGGGGAAGGGGGCCCGCCCACCTGCCAGAGGCCTGGACCCCAGGGAATGGCACCCAGAGACCGCAGTCCAGATGGCGGGGTCCAGGCCTTGCTAGTAGCTAAGCAAATGCCTTCTGTTCGGAAGGTCAGATTTCACATAGCAAGATTTTTACAGTGCCACAAACTACAGATGCCACAGTGTATATCATACACTCTCAACCAGGCAAACTTTCTGCTGCCAGTACCGCAAACTGCAGAGAGCCTGGAGCTCGCTGACTGGCCTTAGAATGTGGTGCTCCAAGGACACACAGAGGAATGCTGTGTCCTGAAGTCACGAGTGACTCTCCAGCCTTCCCTGTACCAGGCTGGTCAGTGTCCGTGCACAGCCCACCAGTGCCCAGCCAGGCCCCCAGTTCCCCTCCACTCTGCCAGCCGGGACCAAGCCCCTCCTGGAGGGAACTCGCCCTCTCCTCCCCAGCCCATTAAAGGCCCGTTTATTCCCCGTCTTGGCCTCTGGTGCTGACCTGGCCTCTGGAGACACAGGTGGAGCCCCGTTAGCTAAGTCACCGTGACTGAGCCCCTCGAGATACCACAGCCCCCCATGGCTGGCAGCGCCCACCCCACACACCCTGCTCCTGGCTGGGCAGCCCCCTCTGCATACTGGGCGCCTTTGACCTTCTGGGAGACTGGCTTGAATCTGTGAAAAGTCAGCCAGCTCTGACCCCAGCCGGACATGGGGTTACTGTCAGGAACTGCTCTGAGGCTGGTGGTCCAGCTTCGCCCAGGGGGTGGCGGGACTCCTGAAGATGTGGCACCATGCCTGCTGCTGCCAGGAACTTCCCACGCACAGCCTGTGGGAGCTGCCATCCTGTCCTTTCGGCCTGTCCTCACCAGGGGCCAGGTGAAGCCCCTGCCACCCTTTGCCTTCCCTCAGCCTGCGCCTTCCCCGGAGGGGAGACATGGGCTCAGCTCCTGCCTCCTCCATTTGTTAAACAGATAGGGCCAGGGCCAGCAGCCCAGGCGTTAGGCTGGCAGGTCCACTGAGGCCCAGAGATCCTGCAGGGCAGCCAGGCCTGGCAGCTCCGGAGTGCTAAGCTGGGCCCATGTTCCCACCCAACAGTGGCCCTCGGGGCCACTGTCCTCCCAGGTGTCCAGGCCTAGCACGGCCTGAGCCTGCTCCGCCTCAGTTTTCCCACTCTGAACTGAGGCTGCTGCTCTCTCGGGACCCTTCTAGCACTGACTGAGGAATGGGGGCTTTGTTCCCTTCAACTCCTGTTCATGGGGACTGTGACACCCACGCCCTCTCCCACCCAGACTCTCTTCTGTGGCACCAGGGTCGGGAGCAGTGCCAGGCACAGCAGGGAGCATGGCAGTGGGTGTCGAGGCAAGCACTGTGGGCACCACCGGCCCGGAGGAGCCACAGCTCCCGGACCCTCACATCAAAGCTTCTGGCCTCATTTGCTGGGAGGAGGTTCTTGCACAGAATAGCAGCTTGTTGCTGGCCACTAAGTCAGTAACAGATCTGTGCAGGTGGGCGTGGACCACATGTATGTATATCTCACACCTGCATACCCCACATGTATCTGTGTCTAACCTGCATACACCACACATATGTATGTGTTGCACACAGGCCTGCATATATACACACGTGCACACGGGCCCTGTGTGCACACTGGACCCTCCCTCTCTCCCTCCCTCCTCGCCATCTTCAGGCCGTGCTCTGCCAGGCCAGTGGTCACTGCTCGCTGGGGGCAGCTGCACTCAGACCCCAGCTTCCCACACTCGGTGCCTCTGATTAGGGTGGGAGTCACTCAGGCTCCTCTTATTTCGAGGTGCTTGTGCACTGTTGTGGCTGCTCTCAGTGGCCCTTCCAGAACCTTCCTGAGCCAGACCAGACTCTCACTCCCCAAAGGCCCAGAGCCTGGCTTCATGGGCCCTGAGCGTCAATTCTGTCCTTCCTCCCTGGCTGCAGAGCAGGTCAGTGCAGCCTTCTGCCTGGGAGAGTAAAGTGGACCCTGTGTTGACACATGGAAGACGTCGACATGGCAGAGGAGCAGCTCACCAAATGGGTATGAACGATCACGCCCCACGTGCCTCTGCCGCAGTGAGCAGCCGCAAGAGGGACGAGATCACTGGAGAATGAGCATCTGCAGCTGCACCCCATGATCCGTCACCCACAGCGGCCACGGCGTTCCCTGCCAGCTGCCAGCACAGCCGGAAAAAGGCTTGGGGTCACGCTGTTGCCACGGGATGGACACGCACGGTAGCAGTGTGGGGCCCATCTGCCTCTTGCTGAGCAGGAAACCCACAGGTGCCGAACACAGGTGCAGGGAAGGGGTGGGTCCCGGGCCTGAGGGTGGGGGGAGGGCACTGCTGCCGTTCCCCACACGCAGCACGCAGGCCTGCACACTCAAGGTGCCCACTCGGCCCAGACGCCCCTGCAGGTGCCTTCCCAGGGTTCTCGCACCTGCTGAAGGTGGCCCTCAGCCAGCTTTGCACACGAGCAGCTGAGGCAGGTGAGTTGAGGGCGACGGTGGGAATCATGGGCTTGGGGTCAAAGCCCCAGGTTGTCCCCTCTGGTGGCACTGGCTGTAAGCTCCGGCTCACACAAGGAGCCACCAGGCTGGACTGGGTGCAGCTTACAGACATGGCACGTGCTGTGGGTGCTGGGCCGCAGCTCTTCCACACAGCGCTGATGCTGCTGTCTGCAGAATGCACCGTCAGGAGAGAGAGGTCCAGGCAGGCGGGCACAGCCACGGCTCGGCCAGGTAAGGCCAGGAGGGCCCAGGATGGACGTGCATTGAGCCAGGCAGATCTGGAGAGGCGGTGGGATGCAGAGGGAGCACCCTGCGGAGGCCACTCGGTCATCAGGAGCCAAGCCTCACCCTGGGAGTCTCAAGGAGGGTGTCCCGTGGCCTTGGACAGCAGCCACCTGGTCCGCAGTCTCACTGGATGGAGACCCTGAGCTCCTGCGGCATGGCCAGTCAGGGCAGGGCTGGTTCCCTGGGGCCATCTGCCGTGTCCAGGAGCCTGGCGCTGCTACTGGCCTTGCCCCAGAGCCCAGCTCTGCCCTTCGTCCCCTCACCTTCCCTCCGTGGGTCCCAAGCTGCGGCAAGTCTTTAAAGTGGGACACCCAGCGCCAGCCCTGCCCCCGACGGGTCCCTCGGCCACTCAGGGCCTGTGTCCTCGTCCGTGACACAGTAACAAGGGGCGCTTGTGCAAGGGCATGAGAGGGTCCGGTGGAAGTCACGTTTCAGAAAGTTCCTAGCCCAGCTCCCAGGGCAGGCTGCCGGCTCAGCAGGGGGTCCTCGTCTTGCCCTGGGTCCCTGACCAGCGGGCTCCCCAGGGCTGTCCCGGTTGGGATGGGTGGAGCTTGGTGCCTACAGGCCAGCGAGCGCATCTTCAAAACCCACTGTGCTTCCAGGGCCTCCAGAGCCCAGGGTGGGTGCAGGGCCCCAGGATCCACCAGCCAGACCCTGACCATCTGGGCCGGATGGTCCCCTGCTGCCCTGCTGTGTGTCTGCGAGGGAGCGCCCTTCCTAGCTTCATTCCCTGGGGCACAGGGGCATGTGAGTCCACATCAGCAAGCATGTGTCCAGCACATCCCACACGCAGCCGCGTCACAGAGGAGTGAGACGGACTCCCCGTGTGTCCACGTGGGAGCGCTGTTGGGTGGCCCAGGCTCAGGCTCGGGGTGCCGGGTGGGGGCACATCCGGCATCCTTCACCTATGGTGGCCCTAGCCACAGCCCTGGTCCTCTCTGGAGCATGAGCCAGTGCCCACCGAGGCAGCCCCTTGTCATCAGCTCACAGGACACGTCCCCCATTGGCAGTCTGGTCACTCACAACCATTCAGTTATCCCAGAATGGCTGCAGGTCACAGAGTCATCAATCTCCTTCATTTCCACCTGCCAGCCCTCCCCAGCCTCACAGCCAAGCCCATTAAGACAGCAGCAACGCCAGCAGCATGTGGAGTCTTTACTGCATCAGCCGCATGCCCGGCGCTCCCACTCCAATGGGAAACAGCCGCCTCTTAGCTGGAAAAAAGATGACACCCCGTGCCAGCTGAATGGACTGTCCCCTGCACACACAAATAAACACGCACAGACACACGTGTCCATAAACAGATCTGGCCTCAGAGCCACCCTCCAGGTGTAGCTGCCCCAGGCCTCAGCATCTGGTGACAGCCACAGCAAGATCAGAGCAGCCTCAAGGGCCCAGCAGGAGCCAGCAGAGGCTCAGCTCAGGGGTCTCAGAGCCCTGTGGACCACGTGACTTTACAACGCTGTAAAAGCTAAATTCCAACACACTTCCTGCCGGGGGTGTGGATGCAGGACCCACATTTTATTCAGGATTTTGAAGGGTGCATAAATTGGCGTCTAAGACCACAGGGCCCGAGGCCTCTTTGTGGAGGAAGTGGGGTGTCTGATTGCCGATTCAGTTTCCTTAGGGCTGAGGTTTACTCAAGGTGTCTACTTCTGAGACAGTTTTGATGGCCTGCATGCATCCCGCCCTGGCTTTCAGACCTGCTGACCCACAGTCGCCTCGTCCCTCTGCTGTCCGGGGACTCGATGGAGTCTGTGCTCTCCTCTCAGATGCGTGGGGCATCTCAGCTGCAGGCGTTCTTTGTATTTTCTCACCTGTCCTGCCACCGCTGACTTCAGGAACTCCTGTGGGCATCCCCTCCTCTCCCTGCTCTCCAGGGCCCTGAGCTCTCCTGCTGCAGAAGGTGGATCCCCCTCGCTGGTTTCCTGGTCTCAGGCACCACCAGGGCTGACTTTTTTTTTTTTTTTTTTTTTTTTGGAGACAGGGGCTTTCTCTGTCACCCAGGCCGGAGTGCAGTGGTGCAATCATAGCTCACTGCAGCCTTGAACTCCTGGGCTCAAGTGAGCCTCCTGCCTCAGCCTTCTGAGTAGCTGGGACAACAAGCATGTTACCACCACGCCCCAGCTAATTTTTGTTTTTTAATTTGTAGCAACAGAGCCTGGGTTTGTTGCTGTTATATGTAAATTTTCATTGCTGCAAAAGAAGTAGCACCCGAATATAAATTTCTCACAGCAAGGCAGCTTTGCTTTCTGCAGAAAGGGTACAGTCAACCGCGTTTGCCACAAGAGTACACGGGACAAAGGAGGCAGGCCACTTAGATCTAACACATGGAGCCTGCTGCTGTGTGCTGCTTCCACTGGCTGGAGCTGGACCTCACAGTTGAGGCTGCACCCGCTTGGCTAACAACCTAAGACTTTCCTAAGCAGGTAAAGGCAGCGGAGAACAAAGGAAAAGAAGGAGTCACTTGACAGATGCTTAGAGAGGCAAAACTGCTTCCACATAAGGAAGGGACATAGCTATGATCTCAAGCAGGTCAGGGCAAATACTAGGTTAAGAACTGAGAACACTGGATACACATTTCTTTGTTATGACTAACAACTATTCGGGAGTATTAGCAAAGGGTCTAGAGTAAATTAACTTCTTAAAAAGCTATTATTTATAATGAACTAAGAGGAAAACTTTGAAGAGGAACTTTTTATTTTTATTTTCTACAGTTACCCAGGCTGGTCTGGAACTCCTGGGCCCAAGTGATCCTCCCGTCTCAGCCTGTAAAGTAGCTGGGACCACACACACGTGCCACTGCCGTGCCCAGCTAACCTTTAACTTTTTTTTTTCAGACGGAGTCTCGATCTGTCGCCCAGGCTGTAGTGCAGTGGCGTGATCTCGGCTCACTGCAACTTCCGTTTCCTGGGCTCCAGCAATTCTCCTGCCTCAGCCTCCCGAGTACTTGGGACTACAGGCATGCGACACCACACCCAGCTAGTTTTTTATTTTATTTTATTTTATTTTTGTATTTTTAGTAAAGACGGGGTTTCACCATGTTGGACAGGCTGGTCTTGAACTCTTGACCTTGTGATCCGCCCACCTCGGCCACCCGAAGTGTTGGGATTACAGGCGTGAGCCACCGCGCCAGGCCAACATTTTAAAATGCTATAAAATCTGCAGGATTTTTTTTTTTTCAACCAAGTTTATAGCTTTTCACTCCACGCATCTCCCAAGGCCACAACAGGCTGTGACATCCTCCAGGCCCCTTCGGAGCCCTCCCACCATCTTGGGAGGGCCCGTCGAGTCTCAAGTTCATTTCGTTTTGTTTACTAGGTTTTGTTTCTTAGTCACTAGTTAAATTTACTAACATTTTCCAACTTCTTGGCTCAAGGGACTTCATTTTAATAAATAATACTTTTTAGTTGCTGAGTCCAGTGACTGTGTGATGAGCTCTCCCAGTGTGTGTGTTAGGAAACATCTGTACTTGGCCGGCCACGGTGGCTCATACCTGTAATCCCAGCACTTTAGGGGGCCCAGGCAGGCAGATCATGAGGTCAGGAGTTTGAAACCAGCCTGGCCAACATGGCAAAACCCCATCTCTACTAAAAATTGGAAAAAAATTAGCATGGCATGGTGGTGTGTCCCTTTAATCCCAGCTACTCAGGAGGCTGAGGGAGAGTCCAGGGAGCAGAGGCTGCAGTGAGCCGAGATCTCGCCACTGCACTCCAGCCTGGGCAACAGAGTGAGACTGCATCTCAGAAAAAAAAAGAAGGAGAGAGGCACCGGCTCCAGAACAGGTGCGCATCTGGCCCAGCATTCAGAGAGCAAGCCAGGATCGGAGGCCGGAAGAGCGAGGGCCTCTGCAGGGAGCCAGGGGCCCAGCCTCGGACACCCTGAGTGCTCAGTAGGGCCTCCCACCGGACGCCAATGCCCTGGACACCGCCCAGCTGCTCCGGGACTTGGGGCCACAGCCTAGCCTCCAGTCCTACCTCAGGCGTAGCTGCTTAGCCTGGAATCCTGGCTCTGGGTGAGCCTCCTGATCTGTCTGATGGTTTTTGAACCGTCCTGGGTACAGGTGTCTTTCTGGGCCTCCTCTGGTCTAAGTCCACTCTGTCTGGAGAAGAAAGAGGACAGCAGGAATGTCTGGTGGCTCCGGAGCCCTGGGCGGCCCAGCCTGTCTTCCCAGCCTGTAGGCCAGGCCTGGAGAGGTCATCGCAGGAACCTCAGATCAGCCCCTCTCCCACCAGTGGCTGGAGTAGGGATGAAACGGAGACCGGCGGCTTCAGCTGAATTGATTCTATTACAGCAACTGATTTAATCTGAACGGTCATTACTGTGATGTATAGACTACTTGGGATTCTTTGCTCCCAAATTTGTCTCCTGTCCACTTGATATTGATTGAAAGACAAAGCTTCGGCCTCTGAGTAGAGGGGGCAGGGAGGGCGGGGCTGCCTGGGCTGACTCGGACCGCCAACCCCTACCTCTGCTCTGATTGCAGGGGCACCAAGCACAGCTGTGCTGGGAAGATCAGGGAGGTGGCAGAGAGGACCCGGCGCCCTCAGTGTCCAGCACACATCCCCTGGCCTCTGCCCTCCCTGCCACCCAGCCCTGGCCCAGAAGCACCTGCCACCAGGCAGCCCATCCTTCCAGGAGCTTCCTGAAGATGGGACCATCCTCTCCCAGCCCCAGCTGGTCCCCACAAAGGGCCAGGTGTGGAATGACCCAGGGCAATGCTGGCCTCTTCCGATGATGAGGCCAGAAACTCAAAGGGCCTCTTACCCTGTTTCCCCGTTTCCTCCTGTCCGGGAATCAGAACTGAGGCTGCCAGCCTCCACAGGTGCCAACCACCCAAGAGGCGGCATGGTAGGGACAGTAAGCTGGTGGTCAGGAGCCAGCAGTCTCTAGCCTTCTCCAGCCTGGGCAGCACCCAGCTACAGCAGCCAGGCTGGATGGTCAGGGGCTGCCTCTACCCCATGGCACAGGCCAGCTTCAGGGCCACTGGGGATCAGGCCGAGACCTGGAGTGCACCCAGGTGGCAGCCTCTGGGCTATAGATGCAGCCAGGCCCCTCTAACTGCCATCCCCACCCATGTCCTTCTCCTTCTGACCCCTCAGAGCCCCTCCTCCCCTCTCCAGCCCCATCCCCCACCCCCACCCATGTCCTTCTTCTGACCCCTCAGAGCCCCTCCTCCCCTCCTCAGCCCCATCCCCCCCAACCCATGTGCTTCACCTTCTGACCCCTCAAAGCCCCTCCGCCCCTCTCCAGCCCCCTGTTGCTTCTGCCTCCCTCCCTCCTGTCAGTGTTGGGTTATGGGGATGAAAGACACAGAGGCGTGGGGCACTGAGGGAGGGACCCAGACACCCACGAAGAGGAGGAAAGGATGCCGTCCAGATCTGGGTAGAGATGGGCCCGCCCATAGGTGGGATTTGCCTGGAGTGGCGAGTTCACATGGTCTAGGGGGCTGGACAGCCACTGTCTCTGGGACCACAGCTTTCTGGGATGGGCCAGGACAAGGCCACCCATGTCCCACCTGCCCTTCTGGGGTTCAGCCAAATACGGCCCCCACCCCCATGACTAAAAGGCAGCTGGGAGCTCCAGCACTGCCCGAGGGGACAGCCAGGCTCACCAACCTAGCCTTCATGGACCCCAGGGGCCTTGGGGTGTGGGCCGCTCCGTCGTGAGCCCTGCCCCAGCCCATCTTTGGAGGATGCTGACTGGGGGCCCTGAAGCTCGTGGCCACCTCCACTGTCTGCCCCCTTCCCCTGACGGTGCTGGCCCAGGTCCCAGTCTCTGTGGTCAGCCCTGCCCCCTCAGCCTCAGCCTTGCTGCGGCCTGGGCCGACCTCAGGAGCCCCTGCCAGCCCAGCCACCCTGCACCTTCGACCATCAAGGAGGCTGGGGTGGCCTCGGGGCAATGCCAGGTGAGACCTCAGGTGAGCTGCTGCACCCCCCCAGTGCTTGGGGCAGGGGAAGGGAGGTGGGCCTGGGCCAGACTCGATAGCCCTTCCCTGGCACAGGCCTGGCCTCCGTTCTCCCTGATCCCTGCCCACGTGGTGGCTGCAAAAACAAGACACCAAGGCATCCACACTGGGTGACAGTGCTAGGCCGGCCTGGAGGGGGCAGGCCTGTCCAGCATGGGGACGGCAGCCGGGAAGAGCCCATCATCGCCTCCCAGCTCTGCCCTGAAGACTCTCCCGCCAAGAAACTGGCTACCCCTCCCCCACCTGCCTCGCTGCTGTCCTGGAGCCACACTGCCCCCTGCTGGGGAAGGCAGGTGTGACAGGCCACCAAGCCACCAGCCCAGACCCCACCAACCCTGACCCCGCCCCTAGGCCTGACCCCTGACCCCACCCCCAGCCCTGACCCCACCCCCAGCTCTGAGCCCCCTTCAGCCCTGACCCCCCCAGCACTGGCCCTGCCCTCAGCTCTGAGCCCCTTCCAGCCCTGACCCTGCCCCCAGCCCTGACCCTGCCCCCAGCCCTGACCCCGCCCCCAGCTCCGACCCCCCTCCAGCCCTGACCCCCCCAGCCCTGACTGCCGCCCCATCCTGACCCCACCCCCAGACCTGACCCTGCCTGTAGCCCTGACCACCCCCAGCCCTGACCCCACCCCCATCCCTGACCCCTCCCGCAGGTTTCTGGAGACCTGCCGAGCTCTTGGGGCTGCACCTGCCTGGTTGGCTCCAGTCACTGTAGGGGTGAGATCCAAGACCAGTGTCGGGGCAGCTGGGCAGGACAGGACCCGGACAGCCCAGGGGGAGGCCCCAGCAGGCCCACCCCCTCACCCCTCTGTGCTCAACTCCCTGTTGGCACAACAGCCAGGACTGACCATCAGGCTCCAGAGGCCCGCTGTCCCCAGGTCCTCAGGAGGGCCACCCTCCCACCAGCAGCTCTTCCTAGCCAGCATTGCCCATCCGTCTGTCTGTGTGTTTTGAATGCTCAAGATTTTTTCAACAGGCTTGTCTATTCTTTTCATGTGTGTGTTGTGGGGGGGTGTCAGTGGCTTCTGAACAAAAACAGCACCCCCAAACCTGATGGGGGGTCCCTTGAGCACCTTGCACTGAGCCCCATGGCCATGGGGTCAGGTAGTGGCCTGAACGCGGGGACAGCATCACCCCTGAGCCCGGACACCCCAAGTACAGCGGGGTCCAGGATGGCCCCAGCCAGACACTGCCTGGCCTCTTCCACACCTCGGGACCCCGCACCCTCTGTCCTGGGGAAACTTTCGGGCAGAAGCCCCTATATAGGGCCCCTATCCAGTGGGGGCCACGGACACTCAGCCAGGACTCAGGTGCCGTGGGTGCTGGGCCCAGCCCTTCGGGAGCCACTCCCCACCCCCACTTGCTCTCTGAGGATCTGCGTCTGTCTAGATGGGCTGATCTGTGCTCTGACAGCCCCAGGACTGGGTATTAGCCTCACCCCAGCACCTGGCGGGCTCTAGGCCAGAGGAGAACGTGGGAAGTGCATGGCCCGTGGCCAACACCTGGCTCCCGGCCAGGCCTTACCTGTGTCCGACTCCACACCCCGGCCTCCTCCAGCCTCAGGCCCTGCCTGTCAGATGGGGCCACCTGCCCAGGGGGTCCTCAGGGAGCAGCTGCCACCTGCAGGGTGAGCCCCTGGACCCTCTGCCACGGGCAAAATTGGCTCAGGTCTGGAATTGACACAGCCCCCAGGCCAGGGCCTCCTTTGGTGTTGGGTGCTGCAGGAACTCCTCTCCGCCCTCCATAGCCCTGCACCCTGGGTGGGAGCAGCCCTCACACCTGCTAACCCCTGCCCTCCGGCCCCCACTGCCTCTCCAGGAACAGGGCTGCGTCTGACCTGAGCCCTGGGCCTCGTGTCAGCACACCTTGCTTGACCCCAGCGTCCCAAATCATGCTGGCCCCTTAGTGGGTGGGGTGTGCATCTGTATTTATATACATAAATCACACAGATTCAATTTAATAATCAACGAGGGTGGAGAACCGTTACTGCACTGTGTGATTACAGAGTCACTCCAGAGCGCACAGCTGAAAACGCACCTGCCCACATCTGAGAGGAAGGTGGGAATTCCTCAGCCCACCCCGGACCACTGCCTGCCATGTCAGGAGGAACAGCCCAGGGTGGGAGGTGGGAGGGCCTGTGGGACATCCAAGGCTGCGGGGCTCCTGGGGGTTCCTGGGCCGTTCATTGTCCCCCAGTTCCTCAAACTAGGGAGAGGAAATTGGGTGGGGAACCGAGGCTGTGGACCGGCCGGCCCCACCCCCACCCCATGCCCATGAGGCACTTCCCTGGCACTGGGTGAGCAGGAGAATTGAGGTGGGTGAGGCAGAGGGCGCAGTGATGGAGGAGAGCCTTGGAAGGCCCAGGACTGCAGACTCTCGAAACAGGAGGGGGAAGCCCAGAGTGGGGTTCCAGCTGGAGGCTTTGGGTGCAGAGGGAGGGTACTCGGACTGGTGTCTCCAAGTCCACCAGAAAAGAGGAGGGCTCTTCCAGGGGTGATGGTCCTGCAGCTGGAAATTGGACTCCTGCCCCCACTGGACTGGACCTCCAGACTCAGGGTGCCTAGCCCTCCCCTGCCCCCTTCCTTTGACACAAGGGGAAACTGAGGCTGGGGGGAAGAACCTCCAGCCCAGGGCTCCAAGCTGGGACTGGACTCAGGGCTCCTGCCTGCTGGCCTTCCCGCTGATCTAGGAGCACGTGGAGTGGGGTCTCTAGCCCTCCCACAGCGGCCAAGCCAGCTGCCTCCCAGCCCCTCCCCACATTTGGGGCTTGCCCAGGACCTGGCCCAGCTTAGCCTTTTCCTTAGAGACCCCCACATCCCGTGGAGGAGGGGCTTGGCCTCCATAGGGTGGGAGGCAGTTGACTGAGCAAGGTGGATGCTGGGTGGAAGGGAAGAGGAGCTGGGGTGGCACACAGCAGCTACCCCGGGCCTCTTTCTGGGGGGAGGGCGGGCACTTCTATCTCACTCCTGCACTAGTCCTGTGAGGCTGAAAACCAAAAGCATTCAGAGGGCTTCTCCACCCCTAGTTTGGGGTGTCTGACCACAAAGGAGGGTCGGTTGTTCCCAATGGGCTACACCCAGCCCCACAGGCCTCCCAGTCTGGAGATGGAGGGGTTCCCTGCGCTCCCTCATCTTGGAGCAGTGAGAGCTAGGGACAACCCCGGCCTGAGCCTCCCGGGCAGCCTGGCCTCCTTCCAAGCGGGCCAGCGGGACAGATGGTGCCTGAACCTACCCAGCCACCCCACAACCTGGAGAGGAGAGCAGAGGTGCCCGGCTGTTCCCACCACAGAGAGGAACGGGCTCCCCAGCCGGGTCCCGGGCTGCTCAGCAACACCTGCTCCCCATCTGCCTGCTCAAAAGAAGAAGTCCTCCCGACAGCCCCCTCCATCCTCCCTCCAGGGCCTCCCGACCACGCGCCGGGCCTGTGCGGGTGTTGAGCTGTGCCCGCACCCTCCCGGGGGCGGGGTCTGGGGGGGGAGAGCAGGTGCCACACTCAACAGGAGGTAGGGCTTCTGGCCGAGGTGGCCAGGAGGCTCCAGAGGAGCAGGCAGCGTTGGCCTTCGGCGTTGAGGGATGAGAAGGAGTTCTGTAGGCAGCAGCGGGAAGGAAACTGCTCCAGGCAGGGGCCTCGGGGAACAAGGGGATGCTGGAGGAGGCGCGTGGACCAGCGGAATTGGGGTATCCTACAGCCGCGCTGGCGTCAGAGGCGTGTGAACCAGAGCAGCTCCATATTGAACAGGAGCTGAGTAAAGTGAGGCCATGAGGAGGTGCGTGGAGAGTGCTCAGCAGGATGAGGGGAGACGCAGCCCGAGGGACGCGGGGTCCAGGAAGAGCTCAGGTGACCCCCACGCAGGAACTGGGGTGCAGATGCCATGGGTCAAGGGGCGAGCCGGGGCCCAGGGAGCAGGTAATGAAGTAACAAGCCCCGGCTGGTCCCTGGCCCGGCCCCACAGCCTTGCCTCTCCCTCCGCTCCGACGCGCAAGCCGGGGCACCTGCGACCTCGCCCTGGCCGTGCCCGCCGGACCCCGCACGTACTGTCACTCAGCCCTCGGCCCGGCCCCGCACGCTCACAAGGTGTCACTCAGCCCTTGGCCCCTCCCAGCCCCGCCCATCCTCCTCGGGCCCCGCCCCACCCGCCACAAGCAGTCACCGCTCCGCAACGCACCTGCGCTGTCACTCAGCCCTCGGCCCGGCCCCGCCCCGCCCGCCCGCCCCACTCGCACACGTGCTGTCACTCGGCCTTCGGCCCCCCTTCCTAGGCTCCGCCCCACTTGCCCGCCCAAGTGCTGTCACTCAGCCTTAGCCCCGCCCAGGCCAGCCTCGGCCCGTCAGAGGCCTCTCTCGTGCTGTCACTCAGCCGTCGCCACAGCCCCGCTACTCCCCCCTCACACGTGCTGTAGCTGGTCCTGGCCCGCCCCGCGCACTTGCGCTGTCACTCAGCCTGGCCGCGCTGCTTTGGGTCGCGGGTGCACTCGGGCCCCGCTCCCGCCCCCGTCCCGATGGACGGCGCGCTCCTCCTGGTCCTCGGGCTGCTGGCCCAGGTAAGGCATCGGCTCCTGCGGGGTCCCGGCTGCCTCTCCCGGCCCTGCGGGACGGCGTCTTCCACTGGAGCTCCACAGGTCTCCCCCAGGACCGCTGGCCCTGGCCGCCGTTGGGAGCCTGTGGGCTGACGGGTCTCGGGTGGGTGCCGCACTCCAGAGGGTGTGGGGAGTGAGTGTGACCAAACCCTCCACCCAGTGGAATAACCCCAGGACTGCTGGGGTCAGGCAGGGACCACCCAGCAGACCGTGGCCTCTCTTTGGAGGGACCCCTGCCAGGGTCTGGGGGGCTAGTCTTGAGTGGAGCAGAGAGACAGGGGCAGCGGCAGGAGCGCCCCTCTCTGCGGGGCTGGGGCTGGATTTCCATAGGGACTCCCTGCGGTGGGCCCATGACCCTGGCCAGTCTGGGGTGATGTCCCACCGCCCACCCCAAGTTCCTGGCCCGCAGGGGTGGCTGCAGGCCCTGCCCTCCAGGAACTCCCACTCTGGGCTGCTGCTCGGTTGGGAGCGCCCAGCCCAAGCCAGGTCCTGCCGCACAGGGGCCTCACCGTGGCATACGGCAGCCCTGCAGCTCTGGGCCTGGACTTCTCCTGGACCCTTAGCAGCTGCCTGGGCCGATCAGGTCTGGGGGCCCGCCCCAGGAGGCTGCTGAACTCTGCCCCTCGAAATCTTCTCTGGGCCCCTGGGACCACGGTCTCTCCAACATGGGAGCAAGCCAGGGTGGAAGGAAGCCCAGGCGTCGGCCCCCACACCCCCCAGGGGCACTCCCTAGCCAGAGCCACGTCTCCTCACACCCTAGGCGGACCTGGACACAGAGGATGTGGCTGGGCCAGGGCAGGGCCAGCTGTGGTTGGGACGTCACTGGGTACAGGAGGGCAGCCTCCCTCTTGCCAATTTAAGAGGGAATGGACATAAAGGGCTTAGCGGTGCTCACGGCATTCATTGCTGTTGTGGTCCTGGGATGGTCAGGGAGCCCTTTCCCAACCCCCACTGAAGGGGCTTCCTGAGTCCCCTCATTCCCACAGGCCTCTCGGTTCCAGCTGGCTCCAAATTCAGCCTCTGGCAGCCGACCAGGCCCCTGGCCAGCCAGACCCTCCAGCAGCTGCCCCCAAGGGCACCACAGCTCCTGCCATCCCCCAACTTTCGGCCCCCAACTCACCCTCTGGAGACAGTGGCGGGGGAGACAATGGCTCAGCGCGCATGCTCACCCCCAGGCCTTGCACCCCTCAGCCCTCTGCCGGCGAGAGCAGCTTTGGGGGGGGCCCCACGCCTCCAGGGCCCTTCCCCACCTGTTCCAGGGACAGCGTTTCTTCCCTGGCATCCCAACCTAGGGTGTGCTGGGGGGAGGCCAGCGCCTGCGAAACATTCCTCAAGACCTCCTCCTTTGGATTTGGGGGTGTTTGCCTTTCAACAGGCCCCCGGGGGGCACTGTGATGGGTGGGGGAGGGGGGAAGGCTGGACCTCTCCCTCCCCAGAGGCCTCCCCTCTCGCTGTCCCTTCTTTTCTCCCCCAGGGCTGGGGGACAGTAGCCCCCTCCCCTGACAGCTGGAGGCTGAGGGAGTTGGTGGGCGGGAGGGTGCTGCTAGCGTGGGGGACTGGAGCCGAGGCTCAAATTCACTCCACTGTGAGGCAAAATATGTCCATGTCAGGACCCTGCCCGCCCCTCCCCCACCTTCAGGACCATGTGGGCTCTGGTGCCACCCCTGGTCCAGGGCAGCCTCTGGGTCCTGTCAGCCCCCTGCACCCACACTATTGCTAGTGGTCAGTTCTGCACCTGGGACCCCACACCAGCTGGAGGCGGCTGAGGGCTGGGGCAGCACTGGTCACTCAGAGAGAACCCCCCCACCCTGCTGGGCTTTGGGAGCCCCTTGGACTCTGGAAGACAGAGCAGCAGCAGCACCCTGGGGGCCAGATGGGGGCCCTTAGCTTGGGTGACTGTGACCGAGCCCAAGAAGGGAAGCGGCTCCCAGGCCACTGTTCTCCCGGAAGTGGCAGGACAGCCCCAGACACTGCGGTTTGGAGGGAACAGCTGCCTCCGCGCCTCTCTCCACACCCCTCCTCTGAAGCCTGCAGCAGCTAGAGAGGCTGGGGCCCAGGGGAGATGCTCCAGCCACTCTGGGCCAGGCCAACAGCTGGGGCCATTCCTGGCATGCCTGGCCATCCAGGAACGGGACGCCCCAGATTCCAGCCTGGGGGAGGGGTGAGGCCTGAGAGCCCTTCACACTCCCTTCCCAGGCAACCCCCAACCACCACCTACCTGCCCACCAAGCCTGTTCCTAGAATCGAGCAGCACCCTTCCATAGAAAATGGGGAGCAGGAGTGTGAGGGCCCCAGAGCCCCCCCATTCCCACCTTGAAGTGGTCTTTGTAAACTGCGATCAGTGTGTGGGGAGCTTTCTCCGGCAGCAGCCCCTCAGGGTTGGGTGTGGGCTTGGAGCAGACCCCAAGAGAGGCGTTAGGTCCCAGGAGCTCTGCTCTAGGCAATGGCCCCAGATGTGTCTAGGGCTTCCAGACGGTTCCCTCCAGGTTCTTGGCTAAGGGCAGGGTCAAGGATGAGCTTGGGGATGTCACTGGGGACCCACTGTGAGGAAGCAGGTCCTTAATGTCCATTGGTCTCACTTGGCTTGGAGGGGGCAGAGAGGAGTGGACAGGCGTCCACAAAACCCACCTCCCTGGGCGCTCGCGTCCCCTAGCCCAGGTGTGGGGCTGTGGGCTGGCTGTGTTGAGTGCCTTTGTCCCGGGCACTGGATGTCCGAACTCCCCAAGGCAGCTCACAGGCCCTCCCTCCACTGACCACGTCTTCTGGAATGGGGGTGAGGTTGGAGGACAGAGCCAGCTTTGAGAACACCCCCAAGAGCCGGAAGCGGGCTGCGGCCTGCCTGCCCACCCACACCCACGCTGCCTGTGATTTGGGCAATGCCACCCTGCCAAGGCTTTTTGGCCTCTGTGACCTGGTGAACTCAGGCTATGGACAGGCCTGAGCCCAGCATGACTGGAGGGTGGGGGAACAGCGGGCCCAGGTTTGGCGGCAGCTGGGTGGGAAATGTCTGCATGGGTGGGGGTGGCCCCCTCCCCCTCAGCCATGTGGGGGTCCCAGGGCTTGGGGTCTCCCTCCCCCATGCCCAGGCCTAGCCCAAGGCAGGCATGGCTCTGTGGCTGGATTTCCTTCGGAGCATGTGGTTCAGAGCCTGGCTTAGGTCTCAGACCCTGTGTGGCTCCTGGCTCTGCCTGTGTGGCTTTGGATGAACGGCTCAGGCCTCAGAACCTCACTGCCCATAGCCAGAAGGTGAGGGGACCACCACAGCCTCCCGAGGACTGAGGGGACGGGGAGGGCAAGGTGGCTCCCAGGCCCAGCGCAGAGCTGCCCAGCCAGGGCGGAAACTGACCCTGTGCCTTTCAACCGGCTCCTCCATGGAGCTGACGCAGGCCCCATGCTGGGCAGGCAGGTTTCCACTTGGCAGGAGCTGCCCTGCCCTGGAAGTGGCTTGTGCTCTGTGGGCACTGGCAGGCTCCGAGGCCAGGGCCACCATCTGTCAGCTGGCAGAGAGCTTCTCCGGCAGGGTCTCTACCTGGGAACCTGGGGAGCCCCCACCCCGTCCTCTCCCCGCTTCCTGCAGAAGCGTATGCTACTCTCTGAGCTCCCAGGAGGCCATAGAGGAGGGCCCGGGTCCAGCTGGCCGTGGTTTGAATGCTGTTGCCACCGCCTGTGGGGACCTCTGTGTGCTGGACCAGCCCTGGGGGCAGGGCACAGCCACAGCGAGAGGCGCCAGCGCCCCATCTCAGCGTGGGCAGGCGGGCAGCCTGGAGCTTGTACATCCAAAGGGGTGGGTGGCCGGCGGTGCAGGACAGAGGCCAAGCCTCCTGGGATTCAGCCTAACAGGCCTCCTGGCCACGCCCATGTCTCCTTCTGGGCCCCCAGCCACCACCTCCTCCCAAGTCCGCCTGCCCCCACGTCCCGGCCCCTGCAGGGACTGAGGTCTTGGTGAAGCCAGCGGGAGCAGGCGGCATGGGAGGGTGAGGCATCGGTGCGGGGCTGAGGAGAGCCAGTAGCCCTCGAGGTCTGTGGTTCCACAGCAGGAGGGGTGGCCCGGCCTGCCCAGCTCTGAGCCCCCAGTTCCTAGTGCTCCCTTTCGTGGTGCCCTAGCCTGCCTGGAGCAGGTGCCCCCTTCCAGAGGGGAGCTGGGTGAGGCCTCGCCTGAGTCCGTCCCACGCATAATCCCACTGGCCAGGGCGCAGTTGGCACTCCCTCCCCTGCCCGAGGTGGGAAGCTGTTTTAGGTGTTGGCATGGCAGGCACAGGGCCTGGCACTGGATAGGACGTCCTGTGAGCCTCCCTAGACCCCAGCCCACCTGCTGTCTGGAGGAAGGAGCTCAGGGCCAGCTGAGAAGACAATGATGAGATGGGCGCCCTGTCTGAAAGGGGAGCTGAGGAGCTTGTTCCTGGTGGGTGGTGTTCAGGCCTGCCCTGCCCCCAGACACCCCATCGTCTGCCCGGGACCCCTGGCACCTCACACGCTCCACCCTGCCCCAAATGGCACCCCAACAGCCTGAGGGCTTGCCCTGGGTGAGGGTGCCCTGGAGAGCACGGCACGGGGGGCAGGGGGTCTCTGTGTCCCTCCCCACCCAGGTGGTACAGGCAGCTGCCCAGCCTCTGCGTTAGGGTCTGTTCCTTGGGGAGTCGCTGCTACCCCCACCACAGCTGGCCACCCCAGCTCAGCATCTTCCTCTAGCCTCCATGGCTGGGACCATGCAGACGCCACACCCTCGATACACAGTGACCCTCAGGTCTCACCCCACAGCCTGCAGTGGAGGACTGGGAAGGTCAGGGGACGGACCCGGGGCCCCAGGCACCCTTGCCAAGGCCAACTGATGCTGTGAGCACGGGGCCTGTGGGGCTGGGTACTGTCCATGTGGCACAATGAGGGGAAAGGGAAACGCAGCTCCTCACTTTTGCCAGGCATATTTCAAGGGCTAAGCAGCACGTGCGGCCTGTGGGTCTTGGATGCTGTGGGTCTAGCAGAGGTCCAGCCTCATGGGGTTTAGCCTAACAGACGTCCTGGCCATGCCCGCAACTAGGAGAGGCTGCCCAAGAGAAGGGCCGGGAGCCTGGAGACCCCTGGACTGGGGGGCACAGATGGCTCCTAACCAGGCCCACAGCACAGAGGATGGGGAGGGGCAGCTGTGTTCCCCTCTCCAACCTCTCCCTCTCCCTCCCCAACCCCTCCTCCCCCCCATCATCTCCTCCTCTTCCCCCCTCCCCCTCCTCCTCCCTCTCCTCCCTCACCTCCTCCTCCCCCAACTCTCCCCCAACCCTGACCCCTGCCGCACTTGCTGTGTCCAGGCAGACTCTGCGCCCCTACAAGCTGCAGCGGGCATCGGCCTGGGCAGCCTCCCTGACCTGAGAGCTTGACAGTGACCCCCATGTCTGTGGCTAACCGGGTGGGGTCAGTGCAGAGCTGTGTCCCTGTGCCGTCAGCTGCAGCAGCTTCTACCAGGCTGTGCTTTGGGGTCAGGGGCCTTTCAGGAAGAGCCATGCAGCCCACCCAGAAACACTGACTCCCCAGACTCGGGTGGTCCCAAGCACAGGTGTCCTGGGGATCCCAGTGATTCCAGAACCAGGCAGGGCCTGCCACCTCTGTCTAAGCGTCCCTCTGACCAAGGCGGGACCAGGCCCCTGAGTGGGCGGCTGTGGCCCAGGCTAGGAGCTGGGTGTGGCAACCGCGTTTCTAACACCATAACATTCAGGGCGTGCTTCTGGGGCTGCTGTCAGTGCCCCTCCACACCCGGGTCTTGACTTGGGTCCCTTCTCTAGGCCTCAGTTTCCCAAGCTCCAGGGTGGGCTGGGGCCACCTGTGGTCACAAAAGCTGCTGACAGTCTGTGGACCTCGGGAGAAGTTAGGGGCAGCAGCTGCCTCCACTTTGAGGCCCGAGGGTCCCTGGCCCTGGGGTGGGTAGGGATGCGCTGCATCTCCCTCTGCAGCCCCACGCTCCGCCCAGGCCCCACCCCTACTTCTGGGGCTTCCTGGGTGCAGTACCAACAGTGCACCCCAGCTCCCGGGTGTGGCAGAGGAGATGGGCACGCCGGGGTCCCAGGAGCTGAAGTATGGGGCGAACACTGCACCGAGGTTCCCTGTCCTGGGAGAAGAGCAGTGAGGCAGGGGTGGGGCTGGCCCTCCGCCCCTGCTGTGTCCTCTTGGCTGTGTAGCCACAACAAGCCCCAACCCCACCCAACCCCTCCGAGGCAGCCCTGCCCCCCCCCAGCCAGCCTCAGGAACCCAGCGGCCACTGCTGGTCACCTCCGGCATTGGGGGCCCAGCCCTGACCTGATGGGACCTGTAGGACCAGCCGCAGGCTGGGTCAGCTGCGCAGCTGGGGGCTGCTGTAGGAATTAGGGTACGTTTCCAGCTGCTCTTGATGGACTGCAGCTCTGGCACCCTGGGCTTTCATTCCCACAAGGCAGCCTGGAGAGGTGGAGGGGGACAGGCACCTTCCCGAAGGCACCGCACTGCGGCTCCCTGGGACCCTCCACCGCCAGCACCCTGCACTCTGGGCACTGCCACCAGCTTCCCGGGGTCATTTGGAGTCAGGACCGCCAGTGGCCCCAGGGCCTGCTGTGTACACAGCTACCCTGGCACCTGGGGCGAGGCTGTGCCCCCGCTGAGTGAATCTCAGGGGTCTCTCCCAGCCAGACCCGGACTCCCGTGCTTCCTCCCAGTGGCCACACACGCTCACCAGGGGCTGCAGACAGCGAGGCTGCTGAGTGGGCCCAGGAGGAGACTGGGGCAGCTGGATGGGGCTTTGAGGGCCAGTACTTGGGGTGTGGCCACCAAGGCCCCAGCTCAGTGTGGAAGCCCCATGAGCCAATGAGCACCCACCCACCACCCTGGGGGAAGCCTGTGGCCTCCCCGCAAGCCCCAGCTCCCAGCTGCTCCTGCCACCCGGGCTCCGGGAGACCATGCTATGGGACGCGTCGGTCTGTTGCAGAGCCTCTGCCTGTCTTTGGGGGTCCCTGGATGGAGGAGGCCCAGTGCCCTGTACCCCTGGCGCCAGGGGCCCGCTCCAAGCCGCGTGCGGAGGGCCTGGGTCATCCCTCCGATCAGCGTGTCCGAGAACCACAAGCGTCTCCCCTACCCACTAGTGCAGGTGAGTGGGTGGAGTGGGGAGGGAAGGCAGGGGTGGGCTGGTCCCCTGCGTGTCTCCTCATTCCCTGAAGGTCTCCTGGGAGCTGGGGGAGCCCCCACAGCTGTTACAGCCGAGCCAGCGGGGCCATGTTTCAGGGCCTTGCCAGGGCTCTGGGCTTCCGACCTGGGTTCAAACCCTCCCCGTCACCCGGGGCCGCGTCGGAATCCAGGGCGGCTCCCACCCCACATGTGCCTCGGGTGGACACAGTCCCCGTTGGGCTGCACGCTCGGGCATGATCTCTGTCCGCGTATCCACTGCGCAGAGTAGGGGGAGGTGAAGGTGAACTGCATTGCCTGAGCCTCAGCTACACACACCTGGAATCGGCCCAGGGACCGGTGCCCTGAGGACACCAGGGGCTGAGCCTGAAAGGAGGCTGCAGGACGGGGCACCCTTGAGGCCACAGGCTGAGCTGGCCCCAGCCCAGCACCGCTCCCCACTGGGCACCAGGCCCTTCCTCCCGTCCTGGGAGCTGTGGACCGGGCCTGAGGGGCTGGGGAGAGGGCAGGGCCCCGCCCCCAGAGTGGCTCTCTCCAGCTGTTTCCTGCCCCACAGATCAAGTCGGACAAGCAGCAGTTGGGCAGCGTCATCTATAGCATCCAGGGGCCCGGCGTGGACGAGGAGCCCCAGGGTGTCTTCTCCATTGACAAGTTCACCGGGAAAGTGTTCCTCAACGCCATGCTGGACCGCGAGAAGACCGACCGCTTCAGGGTGCGGGGCTGCGCCATCGGGCCTTGGCCCTCAGGCAGGCCTGGTGGGAGCAGTGCTCCTCCCCCCACCAGACCAGGCCTTTAGGCCAAACCGCTTCCCCTGCAAGATCCAGGCGCCCTTAAACGAGGGTCAGGTACAGGGGTCTGGGAGCCAGGACCGGCAGCCCAAAGAGGCAGGTGTTTCGGGGCACGCTCCCATTGAACAGGAAGGCAGACAGGCCTCGTGGGGTGGCTCTATTCTGCCGGGAGGAGCTTGCTGCCCCTCAGGAGTGCCGTGAAGAATCTCAAAATAGTGTTGCTGGGGTCGCCGGAGATTCGCTCCATTGCCCAGGCCGGCGTGCGGTGGCACGATCTCAGCTCACTGCAACCTCTACCTCCCCGGTTCAAGCGATTCTCCTGCCTCAGCCTCCTGAGTCACTGGGATTACGGGTGGGCCACCACGCCCGGTTAATTTTTTTTTTTTTTTTTTTTTGAGACGGAGTTTCGCTCTTGTTACCCAGGCTGGAGTGCAATGGCGCGATCTCGGCTCACCGCAACCTCCGCCTCCTGGGCTCAGGCAATTCTCCTGCCTCAGCCTCCTAAGTAGCTGGGATTACAGGCACGCACCGGCACGCACCACCACGCCCAGCTAGTTTTTTTGTATTTTTAGTAGAGACGGGGTTTCACATGTTGACCAGGATGGTCTCGATCTCTCGACCTCGTGATCCACCCGCCTCGGCCTCCCAAAGTACCGGGATTACAGGCTTGAGCCACCGCGCCCGGCATGCCCGGTTAATTTTTGTATGTTTAGTAGAGATGGATTTCTCATGTTGCCGTCCCAAAGAGCTGGGTTGGCAGGTGTGAGCCACCGAGCCCAGCCCCAGAATTGTGCTGACCCCAGCGGCAGCCACTGTTCTTGTGGGTGGGATTAGTCAGGGAAGAAACCACTGATGCCCTTTGGAGGCTGGAGTTCTGAGGTCCGAGAGAAGGGGTTGTGAGAGCCAGGCGAAGTGGCTCACACCTGGAATCCCAGCACTTTGGGAGGCCGAGGCAGGAGGATCGCTTGAAGCCAGTAGTTCGAGACCAGGCTGGGCAGCAAAGTGAGGCCTTGTCTCTACAAAACATCAGATGGTAAAATAAATTAGCCAGGGGTGTTTTTGCAAGCCTGTGGCCCCAGCTGCTTGGAAGGCTGAGGAGGGAAGATCCCACAGGACAGCGATGCTGCACTCCAGCCTCCATAGCAGAGCAAGACCTTGTCTCAAAAAAGAGAATAGGCCGGGCGCGGTGGCTCAAGCTTGTAATCCCAGCACTTTGGGAGGCCGAGGCGGGTGGATCACGAGGTCGAGAGATCGAGACCATTCTGGTCAACATGGTGAAACCCCGTCTCTACTAAAAATACAAAACATTAGCTGGGCATGGTGGCATGTGCCTGTAATCCCAGCTACTCAGGAGGCTGAGGCAGGAGAATTGCCTGAACCCAGGAGGCGCAGGTTGCGGTGAGCCAAGATCGCGCCATTGCACTCCAGCCTGGGTAACAAGAGCGAAACTCCGTCTCAAAAAAAAAAAGGAGAATAAAGGGCAGTGGGAGCAAGAGGAGGAGGGAGCCCCAGAACCCAGAACCCCAGAGCCCAGAACCCCAGAACCCGAGAGTCCAGAACCCCAGAACCCCAGAGCCCAGAACCGCAGAACCCCAGAACCCAGAACCCCATCTGCATTCCCTGCAGGCGCCTGCCCACCCCTAGCCTGCCCTCTCCAAAATGTCATTTTGGGCTGGGCGAGGTGGCTAATGCTTGTAATCCCAGCACTTTGGGAGGCCAAGGTGGGTGGATCACCTGAGGTCAGGAGTTCGAGACCAGCCTGGCCAACATAGTGAAACCCCATATTTACTAAAAATACAAAAAGTTAGTGGGGCGTGCTCCTGGGCACCTGTTATGCCAGCTACTTGGGAGGCTGAGGCAGGAGAATCACTTGAACCCAGGAAGTAGAGGTTGGAGTGAGCCGAGATAACAGCACTGCACCCCATCCTGGGCAACAGAGCGAGACACCGTCTCAAAAAAAAAAATCATTTTGTACCTGAAGTGGGGAAAGGACGCTTCCTGCCTTTGCCTCTGCAGGAAGCAAAATGTCTTTTATTTGCCCTGAATCTTCCTTTAGACTTTGAGAACCAGTGGTTAGGTCCCTTACAGAGAAAGTTATTAGAGAGTAGTTTTCACCTGGGAGCAATCACTGTGCACATTCTCCAAAAGGATGGGAGGCGGTTTAAAATGTCCCATGCACAGGGGAATTAAACTTCAGGAGGAGGCCAGGTGCAGTGGCTCACGCCTATCATCCCAACACTTTGGGAGGCTGAGGTGGGCAGATGACCTGAGGTCAGGAGTTTGAGACCAGCTTAGTCAACATGGTGAAACCCCATTTCTACTAAAAATACAAAAATTAGCTGGGCGTGGTGGCGCACACCTGTAATCCCAGCTACTCAGGAGACAGTCAGGAGACTTGCTTGAACCCAGAAGGCAGAGACTGCAGTGAGCCAAGAATGTGCCATTGCACTCCAGCTTGGGCAACAAGAGCAAAACTCTGTCTCAAAAACAAACAAACAAAAAAAACTTCAGGAGGAACCAAGACCACAGAGAGAAAGGGAAGAGAGATTAGGAACCCTCTGAAAGCCTTACTTTAGTCACATGTAAATCAGGTGTGAGCTCCCTGGCAGCCAAGGCAAGCAGGAAAATTGGCACCTGCCCTGTCTGCTAAGGGAAGGTAGCCCCCGTCCAGGGACATCCTCAGCCACCGTGGCAGATGCCCCACCCCGTGCTGCTTCTCACCTGTTGAAGTTGGTGTTTCCAGCTGGAGACAAAGTCTGAACGTGCTCTTTCACATGGGCCTAATGGGAGCCACAGAAATTCAGGGGCAACAGAACCAGCCCTCGCCCTCTGTTTGAACAGCTAAGAGCGTTTGCCCTGGACCTGGGAGGATCCACCCTGGAGGACCCCACGGACCTGGAGATTGTTGTTGTGGATCAGAACGACAACCGCCCAGCCTTTCTGCAGGAGGCATTCATTGGCCGAGTGCTGGAGGGCGCAGCCCCAGGTGAGGCAGGAGCCCAGCCCTAGTTGGGAGGAGCTGCAGGGAAGGGCCCTGGGAAGCCAGAAGTCCAGGATTTCCCTTAAGCAGGAATTCCAGAGGCCCCTCAGAGAGTCTAAAAATAAGCAAACAGGTCTCCAAGGCAGGTCTGTTTCCACAGGTCAACCCA